GTGTGTGTGTGTGTGTGTGTGTGTGTGTGTGTCTTCTCTTTAAGAGGAGGCTTTCCCCTCAGTCTGAAACATTCTCACTTGGGACAGCCGGCAACACAGACGTGATCTCTCTTAATCCGGGGAACTTGAACTCTAAGGCAAGTACTGATTAAAGCTAATTGTTAGAACACAGTAGCATTTCATTTAGATGATGATAATGCAAGGCACAATGGAAGAGTCAATAAATGGCATTACTGTTATAAATTCATTCATCATGTTAATTCAGGTTTCATCCCATTTATTTACTCTTTAGCCAGTACTTTAAGCATCCTCTGATTTGTCTATAAACATTGGTCTTATGACATATCTCTTACGAACTCACAACGCTTCATAGTCTTGACAATACAGTGTCTACTACAATGTTTATTTTGTTCATTTTATTGTCTATGTTGTCAAGGTATTTCCTCCTTCCTCTGCTAATTACTTACTATCTTTCTCTCCAGCTACAGCCATGGCTCGTCTGGAACAGGTCATTACAAACATTGTTGACGTATTTCTGGAGTATGCTGATGATGATGGCAAAAAACCCCAGTTAAACATTGAAGAGTTGAAGAAGGTGTTGGAGCTAGAGATACAAAGCCCAGAATTAAAGGTAAGAGACTTTAAACACCTACTTTGCATGACATAGTATTCATAAAATAAAAGTGATACTGTAGACAACCATTCAGGTGGGCTTCTGTGCATTTCATGTTGTTATTTAACTGTTATGATGTGTCCTCCAGGATAAAATCAATGCAGATGACATCGGGGAGGCAATGGAGATGTTGGATAAAAACCACGATGGAGAGGTCAACTTCCGAGAGTTTTGTCGGTGTGTGTGTGTCCTGGCCAGATGCTACTACCAGAAGAAGACAGGGAAGGGTGGCAAGAAAGTCAAGGGCAAAGAACCAGAAGCTGAACAAGAAGACTGAATATTACCTGCAAAACCTACAAATGTTTGTATAATATGCATAATATATTTACAAATGGCATCTAGGCCGCAGTATGTTTATGTTATGTGTGACACAACTGACGCTGAAAACAGATGCTGCTGCTATTAAGCTATTTGCACATCCATTATTTGCACATCCATTATAATATTTAGGTCACAATATGCATATATTTTATGTAACACAACTTAACCTGAAATCAGGTGTGGCTGGTATTAGCTTTGTGCACTTACATTATAAACTCAAGCTTGTGTATTAAAGTTGCATGCAAAATGTGAGATTCACTGCCTTCATACCTAAGTCATCTGTTTTCAAAGGAAGTTTCATTCCAGAAAATAAACTTCCATAAGTTAAGTTTGGTTTGTTGTGTTTTATTTTTGTATTGGTTTATAGCAATCACTGTACACGTAGCTGATAGGTATCTGATGTCACTGCTGTGGAAACATGCATAGGATCATCAAACATTCAACAGACATCGCCTGCTATGTTGCAGTGCACTCATCACTGTCAGTGCTTCATCAATATAAATGTTAGCTCTATTATTTCCAAAACTACTGACTTGGGTGTAATCAATGGGAGTGATGGGTGTTCATCATAGTCTGTATATATAAAGGTGTTCATACTACTTTTAATATCAAGATTGTTTGATTTTGCTTTATTTTATATGGATTTTCTTCCACTCCACAAAGTGTTAACTCCCATTCAGTTTATCAGCAACCACCCCTTTTTATCTGTTTTAGTTTTTTCGCATAAGGCTCTTGTGATTGGCTGAAAAGCGGTTTTCAAAATAATACCTGCTGCAGGCTATACAACAGCATAACCAGTGATTAACTTGGCTGTGGGAGAACAACGGTTGGGCAATTACGCAGCAACAGGTAATGCAGGTTTACCTTTAGTGTCCAACAGAGGGCAACAACACCCCAAAGAAAATCAAATATAAATAACTTTAACATGTTTTAATCATGAATTGATTGTAGCACTATTATTTATTTGCAAATGACATTCAGCCCACAGTAGGTTAATGTTATGTGTGACATAACTGACCCTTAACACATTTGTGGCTGCTATTAAGCTAAATGCACATCCATTGTGAAACTCAAGCTTGTTATTGGTCCATTATGTTGCATGCAAGATGTGAGATTCACTGCTTTCCCACCTCTGTCCACTGAGTTTCGGATAACTTTTATTCTTGAAAATAAACTTCCAAAAATGTAGTTTGGTTTGTTGTAAAATCCTTTACGGTTTATGGCAATCACTGTATATAGTTGATAGATATCTAATGTCACTGCTGTGGAAACATAGGATCATCAAACATTCAACAAACATTCAACATCACTGTCAGTGCTTCCTCAATGGAAATGCTGTATCTGCTGTATTATTTTCCAACAATACTGTCTGGAGTACCTCACAGGTTAAGGACTTCTTGTATATCAGAATCCTTTTACGCCATAAAAGGAGTTAAGAGTATATCTCTCTGTTTTCTGTCTTTCTCTGTTTGGATGTATTTGTGTAAATGAACATGAATCAAACCCAACATTTATCTTGTCAAATTACAAAATTCCAACCCATAAATAAACATTTAGAAAATGACTTATTATTTATGATTAACGAAACACAGGGGGCAGTATTTGCATATTATCTTTAGCTGCACCTTAAGCTCTTAGGAAGCATTGTTTTAGGGTTTTGTTTTGTTGTTGATGCCTTTAGAAGTTTGATTAAAACACGCTTTGCTCAGTGTGAATGTTTTCATACCACTTTAAATATCAAGATTAATTGATTTAGCTTAATTCTATATGGATTTGTTTCCCCTCCATAAAGTTTTCAATCACTTCCATCTGGTTTATCAACAAATATACTTTCTGTTGGTTCTTGTTTGTTTCCATAAGGCTCTTGTGATTGGATAAAAGCTGTTTAAAGAAATACCTGCCGTAGGCAGCAAAATGAGACAGTTTTTTACTTGGCTGCCAGAGAAAGGTTGGGCAATGACAGATAATGCAGGTTAACCCTTAATGTCTGACAGAAGGCAACAACACCCTGAAGAAAAACAAAACAATAGCCTTTAAGATGTAATTTAAATTGCCTTCAGGCCACAATGGGTTTGTGTTATTTCTGACACACCTGATCCTGAAAACAAATGCTTCTGCTATTAAGCTATGTGCAGAGCCATTATGAATCTCATGCTTGTTATTTGTGTATAAAAGTTGCATGCAAAATATGAAATGCACTGCCTTCATGCCTCTGTCAACTGTTTGCAAATAACATTTCCTTCCTGGAAAGCAACTTCCAAAAGTCTCCGTTGTTGTAAGATCCTTTACGGTTTATGGCAATCACTGTACAAGTAGCTGCAGGTATCAGATGTCACTTCTGTGGAAGGAAACCCTCATGGGATCATCAAAAATTCAACAGACATCACCTGCTATGTTTTCCGGGGCACATATCACTGTCAGTGCTTCCTAAATAGAAATGTTATGTCTATTATTTCCAATACTATTGATTATTCTCCCATATCAGATTTCTTCTGATTGTTTCATAAATATCATTGATAGAATATATCTCTTTGTCTTTCCGTCTTTCTCTCTTTGGATGTGTTTATGTCAATTAACATGGTCTAATCCCAACATGTATCATGTCAATTTGCATAATTCCCAACCCATCACTGCACATAGAGATTATTATGTATTATAAGCAAAAGACAAGGGGCACTAATTGTATTTTTGTATGTATCCACACAATTATATTCTTGGGAAGCATTGTTTTTAAGTTTTGTTATTTCCCAATAATGTCTTTAGAGGTTATATTCGAACATTTGCTCTGCAATGGGAATGTGTCCTTACCTTATTTTAAATCAAATAGTCCTGTCTCCACAAAGTGTTAACTCACTCCCATCTGGTTTATCAGCAAACACACCTTTCTATTGGTTCTCATTTGTTTCCATGAGGCTCTTGTGATTGGTTAAAAAAAAGGCGGTTTACAGAACCTAGTGCAGGCTGTGGTCTAGCACAATGGTTCAACAGGTTCACTTGGCTGCCGGAATAAAACAGTTGAGCGATTAAAACAGGCAATGCAGGTTTACTATTAGTGTCCAACAGAGCCTAGCAACATCCAAAAGCAAAACAAATAGACAAACAATAACGTGTAGAAATTAAATCTCAAAAGGGAATTTGTTCAAATAGTGGCTTCATAAAACCACCTGATCATTTATGTGATTAGCTTATAAAATGATGGCTGACAACAAATCAACAACAACTGATCCAAATAGGTTTTTAATTATTTAACGCATGTTGTGGCAAAGTTAAATCATACTTTCTCAATATAACTTATTTTAATATTTACAAAAATGTGTGTTCCAAAGCCTTTGATAGCTGCAGAGTGTAATGTAAACATAGGGGACATTCAGTGATTCAGTATTGTTGTATTTATATGAAGTATAACCTTTGAATCACTTCAAGTTGTGACCGCACCCATATCTTGGGTCCTGTCCTCTTGAACTGTCAGTGAGTTTAAATGTAAACATTTATTTCAAAATTCAAATGTAGTATGTTTCCAAGACGTTTTAGAAGTAGAACACATGGTTTTCTATATTGTTGGCTCAGGAAGTAAAGATATTCCTTGTGTGTATGGTTATACATTTTGTAAGAATGAACTAATCCTTCGGTTCATTAAGATGGTGCTTTCAAACAAATGAAAGCATATAGGATAAAACAGGGGTTTCCCTGCAAATAAATGGGAAATTAGTGAGAGCAAATACGTTTACACATGCAGCAATTGCCATTAAAAGACAAAGAAGATCATAAAACATAAACATTTATATTATAATTTGTCTCGGCCATTTTTGGATGGACTCTTTTTTGCAAACAACTTTTAAACTGAAACATGCTTGAGTGGATGTAGCAGTAGCCCCTGTCAGTGAAGGCCGGTTCATAAATGCCATTTGTTTATTTTAGTTCGACACATTATGATGGTTTTGAGGTTCTTCCTTAATTTTAAGGGATTTCTTTATGCAACAGCTTTAACTATAGCAGATTCCTGAAACATATCGACAGTGTTGATTGATTTTAAAAAGTTTAAAGAAAACGTAATGTAATTTAAAACAAAGTGAATGAACAGAGAATGAAGACAACAAGTAAGTTACAGGATGTATCTTTAGTGTCTGCAGTAGCACAGAATAAAGCTTACATTTAAGGAATTACTCTCAAATTCTAGATTAATAACTGTTGCCATGTTACATTCAACATTTTGCAAGGTCATTGCATGAATCAGCCTTTTTTTTACCTACAAATCTTGTTTTAACAGAATGTCTGACATCTGTACACACATATTGTAAAATTAAATTAAAAAACATCAGCCGATTCATGTATAAATAAAACTCTGACCTACTCCCCACAAACCGGCTTGGCCTGTCCTTTTATGCCATAGAGATTAAGGGATAGACTATAACATTGTAACAATCCTGTATGAAAGTTCATGCATTCATGTGTGAAGTGTTTTGGTTACAGGCAGATTAGCCTAACTGTCTCAGGGGGATTAACATTTGGTATACTTAAGCAATAGCTCACGACAGGCCGTGGTATATGCTCATTATATCACAGCTAAGGGGCGTGGTTCGGCCCGACGCGAAGCGGAGGGTCGACAACCCCCTTAGCTGCAGGCAGTTTGCTTTTCAGCCCAACGGTATACTGTTTTTCTCAGACGCGGAGGGATACTGACTTGTTGTGAAAAGTAATTTACAATTCTACCCGTGGTATACGCTCAGTATATCACGGCTAAGAACCAATCAGATTGCTTGATTTGACTTGTCCGTTTTATAATGTAGCATACGCCCCCTTTTTTTATTTGGAAATTCCCTGAAGAAACACCACAATCAACGGCTGCCGGGTCGGACAGAAATGCAACAGATGTTGTATACAGAATAAATCAAAAAATAAAATTACAACATAAATAAGTATAATTATCATATATCATTTGACAACTGAATGGTCAATAATAGGTTTTATAATGAATGAAACCTTGCTCAAACACATAATTTACTTCAGAGTATCTCTATCGTTGTCAGGGTAATGTGAGGTGAACTCCACCTGTAACCAAAACACTTCCCATCACTGTAGCGCACCTACACACCCATTTGAGCAATGTCAACAAATGCAAACAAACACAAACATTTATTCACCCTTTCAAACATGATAAATGATGGATCTTGGCTCAGTATTGCACAAAAGCGCTGGAACTGGTTTGGTGGGAGTGGGTCAGATTTTCAGTACATGAATGACTTGGCAAAATCCTGCATGCTGCATGATTTTTGCCAAATCATTCATGGTGTGTAGTCCCTTATAAAAGTAGGCTTTCCCCTCAGTCTAACATCACTCTCATCTGGGACCAAGTTAGTGAACTCTCTCTACCTGGGAACCTCAACTCTAAGGTGAGTCTTGATATCAAGCAATATATAGAGCGAGTGTGTTTTGTATGTAAGAGTCACATGTTCACATATTGATCATGACGAGTACCAAGTAGCCTGACACAACAGAACATGACATTGTATAGTCTGTAAACTGGCTATGTAATTATATAATCTTAGACTTTAGAGTGCTTGCATTTGAACTTCTGGCTTGAAATTGTTCTTATGTGTACTTAAGTTGAATCTAATTTGACAATATCAATAGTTCCACAATACTTGACGATATTGCCACTACACAAATCCTGACACCTTTGATTTTCTGTTCATCCTCTCAGTTTTAAAATGATAGAAAGTCTATTGTTTCTTATATAATTACTCAAAAAATATACCTTTTTTTCAGATACAGCCATGGCTCATCGTCTGCAAGACATCATTAAAAGCATGGTGGAGTTGTTCGTGGAGTACTCTGACGCTGAGGGCAAGATCAGCAAGGAGCAGATGATGAAGATGATGGATAAAGAAATTGAATGCGCTGAGATGAAAGTAAGAACCTCCCTTACACACAGTTACAATGAACAAGCCCCAACACATTCCCTTACTATCCTGCTTCTTCTTCACTACTTGCTTTTAACAGTAATATTATTTTCCCCAGGAAAAGCTCAAAGCTAAAAAATGCGACAAGAATCCCTGCGACTTCAGAGACTTTTCTTGTTGTCTGGGACAAGCTGCCGTTTGCTGCTACCAAAAGAAGACTGGCAAGGGCCAAGACTGGGAAGACTGCTCAAAAAAGTGCTAATGGCATAATGTTACACTCCCTACACGAGAATGTGATGTTTATTGTCTCACTGTCAATTGGTTTTCAAAGGCCCTTCAATACTGGCAAATAAAAAATAAAAATGATTGAGTTTAAATCAACATGGGTGTCTTCATTTGTATCACTTGCATACTGTTGTAGTTTATAATGTCATCAATTGACATTTAATGATTGACATCTACCATACATTTGAGCGGTCAACAATACATTTTTGAATCATTTTTTTCAATTTAAGTCTTCACAACTCTCTAACTTTCTGTGTTAGTTTCCATAATTGCAAAACCATTTATTTTTTCCTATTTGCAACAATTAGTTTTAATGCACAATAATAACACAGCCGGTCTGAAATTTGTCCAACTATCAAGTATGTTATTCCGAACAAAAGCATGATATAAAACCAACTCTTATTCCCCTTTTCATAAGCTTTTATTAAACAAAATGGAATCCTCAACAAACAGATGCACACAGGATGAATTGCTTCATGTAAATTACGGAGAGAAAAAAACCACAGAAGGCATTCTGAAGTAAAACGTTAACAAAGAGGCCTACATAAGTTGGCCCTGGTTGTTGTAAAATGTCAACAATAGAATAATAAATTATGCCCAACACTGGCGTATCGTGTGTTCGGCAGTGGCTCAGTCAGTAGGGGCTTGGACTTTGAGCCGTAGGGTCGCCGGTTCAACTGGTCGGTTCAAGTCCCCGACCAGAGCTAAATAGAGTGTGGACTGCTACTTGGAGAGGTCGCAGTTCACTTCCTGGGCCCTGCCGTAGTGCCCTTGTGTAAGGCACCGGACACCCCCCCCCCACTCCCATTGCTCCACGGGCGCAGTACAATAGCTGCCCACTGTTCCTAGTACTAGGATGGGTTAAATGCAGAGGCCAAATGTCACTGTGTGCTGTGTGCTCTGCATGTGTGACCTTTAAAGAGGGTTACATCCCTCCAATTCTATCTATCTATCTAAGGATAGAAGAAGGTGAGGGATTACACTGAATAACAGTAACTATATTAATAATATATATTTATGCATTAGTCATCATATTTCTCATGTGATTAATTTCATGAAGCTGATGTCAAAAATAATATAACATGCAAACATGAGGTTATCCCTAAAAGTCATAACATGGAATATCATGGTGAGAAAAAATTATTGTTATGTATATCTTTCTATAACTACGTATTTGATTTAATCCTTATCATGTCACGATCTGTCTGTGTTGTGTTTTTTCTTGTCTAGATCTGTCTTTTGTTTTCTATCTGCGTTGTGTTTTGTCTTGTTTAGATCTGTCCTTGGTTTCCTGTCTGTAGAGGCTTCTCAATTCTTACATTTCCCCTCCTCGACTCCTATCCTCGAGACTTAGTCCCGCCCACATGAGATGCGAGCGAAGGACTGAGGAGGGGAACCGAGGAGAGAGGAGGGGAAGCAGCAGGCAGTTAGAGAAATGAGAACTCCTCTCCTCTGAGCGGTCATTTTAAAGAGAAGTCCATTAATGATGACAGGAGGCACAGCAGCACTCTGTCTGATGGACAGATGTGTTCATGACGACTTATATATTTACTTTGAATTCATTGAGAGTGCGGTATAATGAGACAATAACAGGCTACAGATGCGGGGACACACACAAATATATTTATATAAATATATACAATTTAAAGTATGAGAGCACTCTCATAATAACGTTACACAATCAGAGACTGGATATATCCACCCCTGTCTCTGGTCGCTGAAATGGGGAATTGAAATTACGGGCAAAAGTTGTATTTACAAGTATTAAAAGTAAGCATAGGACACCAAACCAACTGAGACCCGTCTGTCGGCCGCATCGACGCACTGTACAACACACA